GGAAGGGGGGGGGGGGGGGGAGGGAGAGAAGAGTCTGATCAGTTAAATTTAATAAAAAAAAAATAAAATCTAAAACCCCACAAACAGGATGCAGACACATTAAAAAAGCAACACTGACCTAACAAAGGAATGTGAACTGCAGTTGACTTAAACAGCATCACAGCAATAGCCCTCCCCCTACACACAAATCTCTGCAACTCTTAAAGACACAGGTTTTTAGGCCCTTCCAAATTCTGTGGGTTTTTGCCTCGCTAGCCACACTCTTAGCTCGAGCTGATTTAGCTTATTGCCTCTTCTTTCCAGGTAGCAAGAGTACCCAAATTTGACCCAGACTAAAGAAAACTAAGTTGTATTATACTGCCTACCTTAGAGAGGTATTGAATTCTAGTATTCTACTACATATTCTTCTCATTGAAAGAACAAACTATAAAGGGTCCTCTGTTTCATAGTCTTCTGTTAAACATCTGAAGAGTATAACCAAGATTAGATAATGAACACCTTGGTGAAAGGTATCATTTCTTCCCACTAACTCAATATACAGAGCAAAAAGCAATTTTCTAAATCTGTGTATGATTTTCTTAATGTGACTGCTGGTTTGCAATTATAGCTCCTGCTTACATCCACAACGGTGACAAAGACTCCTTATTAGGCTTCTCCCCATCCCATGAAGAACCATTTCCTCCATCCAAAATGTGAAAGTGGCAACATACATGCCATCCTCCCGTTGTTCTCTTTCATCATATTTTTGCCTCCAGGAGATAAAAGCTACTAAGAACACTATGTTTTTAAGAAAGATACCTTGATTTTCAGTTTGAAACATTTTCAGCATTAAGGTCATTTACACATCATTTCACCACCTAAAGGTACCTACCCTAGCGAACGCTTAAAAGCTTTTCTATAATAGAAAATGCAAAACATACACATACCTGGTGCAACTTTTCTTTAAATATGCGCTGTGCTTGCTAATTAGGCTTTCAGACCCTGTTTGCAAAGTTTAGCATTTAGTGACAAAACTGGAATTACAGCTAGGATAGAATACAGGAGATTTTTTTATCTAGTCAGAAATTCTTATCTTGTGATAGGAAGAAGAAAGGAAATTTGCTGAGGGTCAAAGTTAGTGCACTTGCATCAAGCTTTAAGTTAAATGGAAAATAGTCCATCTTCAGCAAGAAATCAGGAAACTTCAGTTTTCTCTCTAGATCAATCACTATGTGATTGTTTGTTGTCATAGAACATCATGATTTCTTTTCTCCACTTGTACAACAGAAGTAATCTCGCTCATCTCCCTAAAGAGGGCAGAGGATTAACTAGTGATAAATGGGCTGAAGACACTCCAAAAATACAAAGTACTCCTAGTATCGTTAAAATCTTATCCCATAATCTGAGTTAAATGCAGCAGCTATTATTGCCTTTTGAAAAAGTTCAGAACAACTTTCCTACCTTAAAAGAAGGAGAAAAAACCCAGTAGTGACACTTATAAACTCTAGCACCCATCATTCCCCCTGCTCTAACCTAAGGAGGCATAAATCCTTGCTGTAATTCACCAAGGATGAAAGATACAGTAATATGAATATCATAAAACCAGGAGACACAAGCAATAAAAATAACCTCTCAAGATCTCCAAAAACTCATTTATCAAGCAGTTTTTGCTTGAAGGCAAGTTAGGTAATAACATGCACAACAGAGCCAATTTAAGGAACTTGCATCCACTATACTATATTTAATATGTAGCTACAGGTAAAAGTGATTGCAGGTTTATTTTCCTTTATTTGTTCAGAAGGGCTCTGGTGCAAATCATATGTATATTAAGAGAGGAGAGATTTCCACAAACCTTTCTGGGCAGAGCATGATTTCGATGTTACCAACACTTAAGAAGTCATTTTGAGACTGGAGTTTGTTGACACAGGAGATGTGGCTTCAGGCCATTCAAGTCTCACAATATAAGTCACAGCTGCCATCATTTAATTAGAAGAGGTACAATCCACCAAATCATCAGCAGTCCAACTGAGTATGAGCCAATTTCAAAACTTCAGGAAACTACCGGTAACATTCAGACTTGCAATATGGAAAGATCCTCTACACTTGACATAGATAATTAAAAGAGAGTAGATTCAGACTAAATATAAGGAAGAAATTTTTTAAGGTGAGGGTGGTGAAACACTGGAACAGGCTGCCCAGAGAGGTGGTAGATGCCCCACACGTGGAAACATTAGTTGGATGGGTCTCTGAGCAACCTGCTCTAGTTGAAGATGTCCCTACTCACTGCAGGGGGGGGTTAGACTAGATGACCTTTAAAAGGTCCCTTCCAACCCAAACTGTTCTATGATTCTATGATTAGTATTTGTTAGCTGATAAGCACCTACCTGGAATTCGGATTTTAAATTTGCCACTTTGTCCAAAACCACCATCTATTATTCCATCTTCTCCTGTAGAGAGTTGGACTTTTAGACCCACGAAAATCTGGATGTTTGTTTCCTTTTTGAACAACGAACGACCAATCACACTGTAATCATCCATCACCTGCAAAAGAAATAGGGCTTCGTGAGCCTACAGTCTAAAGTGACAAGAGAAATTATACCTATGAGATACACTAAGTTTGGTGACTTCTACCACCCTGCCCTTGGAAAACCAGTTACCCCCAAATGAACAAAACTCTAGATGAGTCATCTAAACTGCTGAGTTTAAAGCAATGTGTGTCTAAAACGGTAGAAGACTGTGAATTAATATATTTCTGCTTTCACCTCCTTTTTACTAATATAGGAAGAACAAAACCTACATCAGAACATGCTTTAAAGATTAGTTAATTAAAATCTCTTTTCTGTTTTGAAACCTTTCCATGAAAGTCACTTAAGTACCTATGCTTACAAAAAGATTATTCCATTACTTATCCTACAGATAAGCACATTATTACCTACATAAACATTCTCTGTCTCTTAGCTCCAGAACTGCACTCCAACAGCTACACTTCCAAAGAAATGACAGAATTACTCAGAGTTTCTAAACAGAGCCTTTTAAATATTCACCTTTACATAGACTTTGATTTGTTAAACTAAAAGCCTTATGACCATTGTATCCAATTTTAATTTCAAGGTTTGTAACCCAGCGGGAAGAACCATTCCACATTGAATTCTTAATTAAGCTATCAGGAACAAGAGGCAGCAAGGTTGGTGGGTAAGGCAAGATAAACAACCCTCCCTTAGGCATTACAAAGTATAAGGTGCAGTCAAGTGAGCCTAATCCTGTAGGTGTGAATATCCTTGTATACCTAGCGCCTGGAGTTACTCTACCTCATAGCCACAGCAAGAACATTTATTTACTTATCAGAAGAAATAAGGGGATATTACTTAAATCTTTTCAAGATTTTTTTTTTTGGGGGTGGCAAAAGTTGCAGCTCTTCTTCATATATTAGGAGCTATTTTTAGATAAACCTAACAGTTTCAAAGACCAAAGTGACTTTAGAATGGTAAAGAATTATAACCAATTTTGAACACTCCCCTTTATTCAATTTAAATGACGACTCAAAGTATTGCAGGTTTATTAAGCTACTTACTTCCCTGAAGCCTCTTCCACAAACAGTAATGCATATACAGACTCAAATCCCTAGCATCTTGTTTATTATTTTTTTACATATGTATGCCTCTACTTTAATGCCAATCTCAGTATGGCAGTAAATCTAGCATCAGAAATTTAATTTTTGTTTTGTTTTAAATGGGGTTTACTTGGCTCAGCTATAAACAGCCTTGAAAGGGCTGTGCAATACTGCACTGGCAGGACCTCACCCTGTCCCAGACCACATGCACGTGCAGGATGAGAAGTGTCTACAGCCCTACTTCATTCTTTCACATGGGGATGACAACAGTACAGGCAGCTCCGCCCGCAGTGGAGTGGCAAGGTCAAGGCTGTAGGAGAAGCATTGAGATGTCTCAACAACATTTGCTGCCTGAACACCCACTCCTCGTCTTTTCCTAAAAGGTCACATTTCTGTTTTTTTGGTGTGACTGTCCTCTTCCACCCCCCCAACAAACACTGCTTCAAAATAGCTTATAAACCATTAATGGTAGTATCACTGCTTAGCAACCTCTGGCTTAAATTTAAAACTGAATAGTGTCTTTTACTAGAGCCACTGATAATAGGTGGTGGTAGAGGGGGAAGATAAGCTTTCAGGAACATTTGCCTTTCTTCGGGTCTCAAATAGAAGACTAGCAGAAAAAGAAGCTGTTGATTTCAACCTGAAGAAGCACTTACATTCTCAAAACCTTCTTCATTTTTCCAGTTGCATTAGCTGGTGAAATAAAAATATTACTTCTTCCTGCAAATCTTTTATTCCTAAAACAAAAATTTCAAAACTGAGCACCCTTCTCCACCACTGGCTATGTGCTTCTCACCCACGTTTGAAATACAGACGGTCTCTTACACTCCAGCGAGGATCTTCCATATATCTATTATTTTTGTAGTTATCCCCCCAAAATGGCACAGGAAGCCAACTTTAAAGACAACATAAACATCTTTTATTTTTCCAAGAGCACTTCAAAGTTATCTTTAACTTAATTAAAAACGGAATTAAAGGGTGAGCAATCCTACTGTGCTAGCATGGTTCAGTTTAGAGCCTCCCCGGCAAGGCTGTCAGAAAAACCTCAGAATGATTTCCATGAACAAGTGTTACAGGCATCATGTACCTTTGAGTAGACTGGTAACGATAACCTACAATCGTTGATTATAACAGCAACAAAATCTATCACCCTTTAGGTATACCATACTCACTTAATACCTTTTGATTTTAAACCCCCTCATTTTTTGTAAGTAAATGTGCTTTTAGTGTCTTGCTCTTATACACACAGTTTAGCAAAGTAACCAAGGGCTCCAGCCGCACTGTTCCTTTCACTGGTGAACTTGCTAAAAAAAAAATCCCTCCTTTAGCTGATTGGTGTGTTCTGTCCATATCACTATTATTCCTTGGGCATCTCTATAGGCCATTAGAAAAACAACTGCTTTAGCAGTGCTGAGATAATAAGTGATCGGTGACTTGCCTGAGTGGCTGTCTGGAATAAAACCTTTATGACCTGAAGTCTCAGCCTCGTACACTAAATACTATACATCCCACCCTGTGTCATCTGTCCCCCCCAGTTAGCCTATCACCAATTCATCCCTGAAGACGACTAAATAATGAGAGAATGCTTGATGTAACAAAAACTAAGATAAGTGATAAGTCTTTGCATTAAAATAAATAGGTTGAGAGAATTGCTATGAAGGAAACCTCATTTTATAAAAGAAAAATTAAATTTTTGTTTTAGTCTTGCTTTGTAAAAAGCCACAGAAATGCACGTTGTTCTCTCCAACTGAAACTCAACACTTCCAATTACTTTACCAGCAATTTACCTCCAATCGCTGGATTTTAAGTTAATCCCTTTTGAGTTCTCAGAACATCTACAATGGCAATCACTTTGCCTATTAGCTGAACAGCCTTTTGGGAGAGCTTTCGGCTTTTCTCTCAAACACTCTTTTTTTTTTTGTTATAAAATATTATTAACTTAAAAAGCCAAATGCCGCAAAGACAGTAAGGGTACGCAGTCTGCTCTGAAGCAGCAGCAAGGGGCCTAGCAATGAGGGCAGACTAATTTTATTAACTTCAGGGAAACTTCAAAAAGCTTTAGGGCTTTAATGCCAGACAGAGACGACCCCAAAAGTCAGTTTAAGTGCTGCATAAACAAAGGATTAGGGCAAGAAAAAGCTGAAGGCTCCTTGCAGTTCTTGTTTATATTGTCATATGACCTAGTGGGAGTGGGAGAGGGCTGCCTCTCTGACTTTAATCCCCCATGGTGTACAGTGGCGTTTCAGTTCACTGACCTACATTACGATAATATTTTTTTAAATTTATGGGCAGAGGTGCAGCATCAAACTCACTTAAGGACTTTAAAAAAAAAAAAAGAAAAAAAGAAAAAGAGAGAGGAGCGGGGGGAGGGAAATACCCAGAAGAGAAAAGTTTTCTGGCTGGTATAGTCTCCCACTCTCACTTAGGTTAGATCAGCAGCTTAGAAAGGGATTTCAAGTTCAAAGGGAACGTCTCTGTTACTCTTGTTTTATGGCTTAGACCAGAGGACACAATAGCACTGAGTTTATGAAATATCCCTTCCCACTTGGCTTTTGTGTTTGCACGAGAAAAGTAAACAGCACTTTATAACCATAGGTGAAGTATGCGCATCTCTGGCACATAACACTTTTGCTAATACCAAGAAGTTCACAGAAAAAATTAACCACCTCACACTCCCCATCTAAGCAGTACTTACGCTACCGTATGTTGTTTGCAAAACCACAGTTAATGTTACATGTGTTGGCATTCAGTGCAAACCATAGTAGAATCCCAAGGAAAAAGAACTCCGCGATTTCCCTTTGAGCAGGGATAGCAAGCTATACTGTCCAGCCTGTCAAACCACTCTCATTTTTAAGATAACTTAGAAATTACTGTCATCTGAACACCCTCTCAAACAATCCATCACACACATTTTGAGACCAAGCAACTCCATGTCTTAACACATCTGTAGAAAAAAAAAAAGGGGGGGGGGGGAAATAAGAAAAGAAAAAAAAAAAGAAAAAGGGGGGGGAGGGGAATCAGAACAGAAACACACAGGAGGAAAACAAAGCGGTGCCAGAATGAGATGGGAAATCAGAAGAGGTTACTCTTTCTCTGTGTCTCTTTCTAGTATTTAATATTCAGTGCTTTTACTTTCTCTGTCTCAAACCTTTTCTTATTTAATCTAAAATTATATGGTTTTAAATAGAAATAAAACAATTTTAAAGAAAAAGGATAAAAACAGGTCTGAGGATTATTCTCAGCAAACTGAAAAATGGCCCATTGAAACCAAAGCAGAAAACAACAGGAGGGGAAAAAGAACAAAAAGCCCCCTATGACTAACACTGAAAATACAAAGTATTTTTATTACTTTTTTGTACTTTAGAAAAAGTACACTTGAGACATCTTCATCATGATCAGTGACAGCTCATTTATTTCTAGAAAACAGTTTCGAGCACTTTCCATTTCTGTGTCAGAAATGGGAATATTATGGAGGCTGCAAATTCCTGTTCTTTTTTAAAATGTGGCTTCATGCATTGAGAAAATGATGGTACATGAGGCCGCAAAAAGGGTGAAGGAGAAAGGAACTGAGAGGATTTCGCTATTAGGTTTGCAGCTTTTTTGATTCTCCAAAGACTCTTCTAGCTTTTAGTTTGTTACTGAGAACTAGGTGAACGACTTGGTACAAAGAAAGAACGATTTGGTCAGCCACATTGTTTCCTCAAGAGCTTACATCAGCATAGAAGTATTAAAGGCTTTTCTTGCTGCAATTCCCTCCGGCCCTAGAAGCTTTTGGTTGTCTGCTGGGCTCTAAAGACCTTCTTCTCACCATCCTCCAAGTGAGCAAACTAAACTTCTGCCTTTGAACATCCATCCAGGAGGAAGGAACAGAGATGACAAGTTCATCTCCTTCAGTACTTCATGTCTCATTACTGCTGTTTTAATAGAGCAA